CAAATACCATGTAATTGTCAACTGTCAATTGTCAAACACGAGCTACCAACTGTAAGTAACTAAATATTCAATTCGCTGCATCTTGATGGAACTTAATTTTATTATCGAACAACAGCGGTGAAAAAAAGCCAGTAAATCAACCGATTTTTTTTCTTGTTCTTGCGTAGCATATTCGTCGGGCGCCGCGACGCTTTTCTACGCAATAAAACTCCCGGAAAAAAGAGGAATTTTTTACGGTATCATCAACATCGCGTATAAATTATAACCAATAATTCATCGCGCTAAAATTCGCCGCATACAAAGCGAATATAAAAATCAAAACATCCTTATATCCCGGCGGACAATGGAAAATTCAAACCAGCGGCGTGAGCAAAATTTTCTATCTGGAAGGGTTCAAAATAATTAATCAAATAACGTAAATAAAATTATAGATGAAACGAGATGGTGAGATTTTGTTTTAAAATATCTAAAAAAATATAAAGCACCCTTTCTACGCCACTGGGTTGTTGCCCTTAAAACTTCTTCTAACTTCGCCCATTCGATTTTACGACGTATTTCTTATATACCCGCTTTTTTACGAGTCTTCTCCCTAGTTTTCCAATACATGGGGCGAATTTATATTTAAACACAATCAAATGCGCCTAGAAAGTGGAGAGTTTTTTTTTTGTCAAGTTGGCAGACCCTACGCACATCTGTACTGAACGGAATGGAAAATCTACTATCTTTATCTACAAAAAAAAACTTCCTAAATTCTCAACAATCCTACAAATTTCTCAAACTTAAACTATGCATCTCTTAAAATACTACAAATATCCCAATTTAAAATATGCATCTCTCAACAATAATACAAATTTCTCAACTCCATTAGGCAACAATCTCACAAAATTTTCAATTTTACTACACTTCTTCTCTCAATTAGAACTAGTAGTTTCTCAACTTCATTGCATCTCTCAATCATCCTGCAAATTTCTCAACTTAAACTATCCATCTCTCTACAATTCTTAAAATTTCTCAACTCCATTAAGCACTTCTCAACAATGCTACAAATTTCTTCTTAACTGAAACTCTGCATCTCTCAATAATGCTACAAATTTCTCAATTTCATTAAGCAACAATCCCACAAAATTTTCAATTTTACTACACTTCTTCTCTCAATTAGAACTAGTAGTTTCTCAACTTCATTGCATCTCTCAATAATCCTACAAATACAAATTTCTCAACTTAAAATATGCATCTTTCAATTATCCTACAAATTTCTCAACTTAAACTATGCATATCTCTCTACAATCCTTAAATTTCTCAACTTAAACTGTACAATCTCTCAACAATCTAACAATGCTACATATTTTTCAACTAAAACTATGCATCTCTCAACAATACTACAAATTTCTCAACTCCAATAAGTGTCTCCCAATAATCCTAGAAAGTTCTCGACTGAAACTCTGCAACTCTCAACAATCCTACAAATTTCTCAATTCCATTAAGCAACAATCTCACAACATTTTCATTTCACTATGTTCTCTCAATAAAACTGGTAAATTCTCAACTTCATTGCATCTCGCAATCATCCTGCAAATTTCTCACCTTAAACTATGCATTTCTCTACAATCCTTTAAATGTTTTAACTTAAACTGTACAATCTCTCAACAATCCAACAATGCTACATATTTTTCAACTCAAACTATGCATCTTTCAACAATACTACACATTTTTCAATTACATGAAGCATCTCTCAATAATCCTACAAATTTCTCAACTGAAACTCTGCATCTCTCAACAATCCTACAAATTTCTCAACTGAAACTCTACATCTCTCAATTATCCTACAAATTTCTCAACTTAAACTGTGCATCTCTCAACAATTCTTCATATTCCTCAACAATTCTCTCAATTCCCCAGATTTTTCAATTTAACACAAGTGCCTAAACCTCGCACAGAGATAACGAGCTCTACTAAAACCGCGTGTTATTATTGAATAAACATTTTTCACATATTCGAACCAGTTCCGAGCGAGATATTCATGCATAACGACAATGAATTGAGAGAGAAAGAGAAAGAGAGAGGGCACTGCCGTGCAGTCCTCGAAAACGAAGCTATGTAACTCTATATTCGCTCGCCCCCATTCAGCTGTACTTCCTTTGAAATCGCATTGTTGATCCAAAACATTACAGTTAATATCACTTATAGGAAAACCGCTTCGCTTTTCAATGGTGCTCCTGGGCGGTACACACACACACTCGCGATGAGTTTTAGTATACAAAGTCGACCGGGCGAGTCCCATTGAAACCGGAGGATGGATTGCGTTTCGAGAATTTGTCGAGCATTGTTCCAGGAAACGGAGGACGTCATTTCAAGGAAGCGTCTCGTCGAAAACGGGAAAATTCCGTTAATTAACGTTGTAGATAGACACCGCTGTTTTTTTTTTTTAATTCACTGACAAGTGACAGTTTTGGACGCCATTTCAAGGAAGCGTCTCGTTGTGGTAGAAATAAGTAAGAGGCCACAGACGAGAAGAGTAACAGGCGGTCAAGGGAGGTTGTGAAGGCAACGGAGCTGTTGCTGATTATCATTGATTATTTATTGTTTTTTTAAGAAGGCAATAAAATTGTTATTTTTCGTTTGCAAAGAATTATTTATCTGTTCGAGCACCATTCATCGACAACAGTTAAAAACGGGAAAATTCGCTAATTAACGTTGTAGACATCGCTGTTTTTTTTTAATTCACTGACAAGTGACAGTTTTGGACGCCATTTCAAGGAAGCGTCTCGTTGTGGTAGAAACGTTGTGTCATATTATATTTGTGCCAAATCTGATAAGTTTCAAACACGGTCCTATATTTCTAAGGTCTGGAAACATAGGTCGAAAAAATGTCCCGTTATTTGAGGATAAAACAGGGTTCCCAAAACGGCCGCTAGGAGGCGATGTTGTAAAGGACCACGTTTTTTTGCGTACGAATTATACACATAGAATTAGCGTTAAGGAAGGTTATATAGAAATGTTTACGCACTTTCAACGAGTCTTTTAAAAAATTTTATTTTTATTTTTTCTACAAACTAACTTTTGATTATACAAATTGGAACAATAATCGATCTAAAGATTGATGATTACAATACCGAATTTGAAATGGAACTGAAAAACTGCCTAGAAAAAATGTCGTTGCAAGGTTATCTAAAAGTAATGCGTTTTATAGAAAAAATGCAATTCGGCGTTTCTGCGGATGTGATGATTACATTTCTATATTCAAACTAAAAATAGATACAAAACATTAAAATATACTTAAATCAGCGAAGATTTTGTTGTTAACATCATGCCTCACGTATCTTCGGTTAATGTATTTCTCCATTTTCTCCTCGAAATGTCAAATAACAAGTTTTGACAGCTTGAACTTTCGTCTCACAACCGCGATTTATAAAAAATCTTCAAATAACGGGACACATTCTCTAATGCATAAGCATAGGAAGATTCCAGACCTTAGAAATATCGGGCCGTAAGTAGAAATAATTCATTCATCGACAATAATAAATTGAAAACGGGAAAACATCGCTGTTTTTTTTAATTCACTGACAACTGACTTTTGTTGGACGCCATTTCAAGGAAGCGTCTCGTTGTGGTAGAAATAAGTAAGAGGCCACAGGCGAGAAGAGTAACGGGCGGTCAAGGGAGGTTGTGAAGGCAACGGAGCTGTTGCTGATTATCATTGATTATTTATTGTTTTTTTAGAAGGCAATAAAATTGTTATTTTTCGTTTGCAAAGAATTATTTATCTGTTCGAGCACCGTTTATCTACTACAGTTGAAAACGGGAAAATTCGCTAATTAACATTGTAGACACCGTTGTTTTTTTTAATTCACTGACAAGTGACAGTTTTGGACGCCATTTCCAAATTGACATTCAGGTCGATTGTGTTTGTAAATAGCAATATGGTTATTGGTTATTATGTAAAGATATTGTTATCATAGCAATGTCCTAAGAAATAACCTATTCTGTTCGTGTAATTTAAACAATATGATCTGTCATTAGTAAAGATATCTTGTTATAAATCTTGCTATTTGAACAATGTCATTTTTGTACTTGCTATTTGATAGCAATATGGCTAATCCGATCTTTTTTTATTACTAAATGAGCTAAAAGAATTTACATTTTTTACAAATACGAGATACAAGTAACCCCTTTGATTTGCTAAATGAAAAATTTATAAAACTTAAATAAGGCTACAGCTTTAAATTTAATTCAACAGTTGTTAGAAGTTCTAGAAGAACCATTCCGAAGAGATACAACACCTTTTCATCTACAAGTTGCGCTAGTTCAGAAATGTATGATAAAAATAATTACTCATATTTTTTTAGGTTTTTTAAATATTTTTAATTTTTTTAACTATTACTATTACTTCCATTTGTTCCTTGATTGTTTTCTTTGTTAGTCCTTTCATCATTTTATAAAAACCGCCTCTGCTTCAACCGCAGAAACACATGAAAAGCTGCCTTCAATGGAGTCAATTATAATCGTCAAATAATAAATTTTAGGGAGGATTCTTCTTTTTTCGGTTATATTTAGATAATTACAATGTTGTCAGCTCTATTTTTCATTAATGACAGCATGTTTTTAACAATACGGTTAAGCATTAAAAATATAACCAACATTGCTAAACTAATCGAAACAGAATAAGAACATTTTTGGCAATATTGTTATAACTTAAACATAAAACTACATGGTTATCATAGCAATATTCATAACAAGATCCAAACAGAATCGACCTGAATGTCAGACAACCCATAACTTTATAATTAATGAAAAATTCGCAAAATACCAATAAAGTTTCTTGTAGAACCCGTCGAGTACTATTCAGAACTGCTATCAGAACTCCTGAGAACTCTCAAAAAAATTTCAAACTCGGACTTGTATTTTTTTTTGGCTCGAAGTGATTTTTGGAAATATCTCAAAAATTAATTGTAATTTTTGTAATATTTTGGTAATTAATTGTAGTTTTCTTTATGTTGCAGGTTTGTTCGTTGGACCTACTCGAGTGATTTTCCTGTTGGTATTCTTCGTGTACTGTTTACGGTAACAATTATCCTAAACATCATGTAGAACTGTGTTAAAATGATTATCGAGAGGAATCGAATAAAAATAAGCAGGGGAAAATCGAAGTTCGGGGAAGTGTAAACAACGATAGAATTGAATTGAATTGGTTCGGAATTCAACGAGGTGTGATAAGAAAGCTTTTATTTTATGAAAATTTTATTTTTTGTTTCGTTTTTCCTCCGGCGAGTGTAAATAAACAGGAATATTATACGTTGTAAGGAAAATAAATGGAAGGTGTTTACGATTTAATAAATGTTCGGTACTTGTAGGGTTTTCATTTGAATCGGTGTTATTTTTTTAGTAATTAATAATAATTGTATTAAAATAAATGGACTGTATGTATATAGGTTAAAAAAATCGAATTAATGTGACACATATTTGTTATCAGTTGTCTGATATAATGAAATAAACGTTTTTTTGTTATATTTTGTTTGCATTTTCCTTATTCGTAACAAGCTTTATTTAGAAACAGTTACTTTATAACCGGTTATTTTGTCACTGTATTATTAAAAAATAATAAAATCGTTGAATAAAGCAAAGTTTTTATTATTCATATTACATTTATACAAGATTATTTTTCAATAAAACAATCCCTATCCGTTTTTTATATCATAAAAACGTCTAACAATCGCCATTTTCCCTTTCTCGCAAGAGAATAAAAGAAAAAAAAACACTCGTATAGGAAACAAATTATTTTCTCGCTATCGGATAGCGTTTCTTTTGTCACTTATGAGCTTTCTTCGAAGGAAAGTTAACGACAAACCGACACATCAAAGCCCATAAGGCTTCGTCCGCCATTTCATGGGGATTTCCAAACAAATGGCTTTCGTATAAGGCCAATATCCGGTATATAGACCAAGCGGTACTTACCAAAACATTTACTTTACAAAACCCATTCGGTCAAGTCACCTTTCGGCATCCCACTTCTGATTTTTCATTTTTATCCCACTTCTGATTTCGAAAAAAAAACCAAATAACCACTTTATACGAATTTGCAGAGTATTTTTAATCAGTACATAATTTTTTCGCATAAATTCATCAACGAATCATCGACGAACTTCGATCGCTTGACCTACGGGAGAAGCGCTCCCAGCAAACAAACTACTCCGGTATTCAGCTTATAGACTCCCGGAGTTCAGGAGCGATAAATTTATAGTCCTGAAGGATTTAAAGGGTACGTGGCCCGTCGTCCTGGCACGTATCGATGCTAGACAATATTAGTGTACACTGATCGTTGAATAAATGGCGCCCGGAAAATCTAATTCCATTTCGAAACGGAGGACTTTTAATTCGACTCATCGAATACGGGGAATTCCAATCTCAGTTTTATCTATTTACAAGGCGAGTCATGAAGAAAACTAAATGAACTTTAAAACAATGTGTAGAGGCTCAATCGACTACTCTAAATGTTAGAGTAAGTGTGCTAAATATGGAACTTCGCCATTTTGAGAAAAACGTTTTTTATATCGAGTAAATGATCATCACACACTAAGCATCACTCCTCCTTTGAGTCCTTTGACCTATCTGTTGCTTGTAGTGATCCAGGATATACATATACCGGCATATTTAAAGAAACAGATTGAAAATCCAATTATTTTCTCTATGATATACATATTGTTAATATTTCTTGACACAAAGTTAGGTGAATGTTAGGAGGGGAACTAGGATTGGGGCACTTATTACAAAAAAATTATCATGATGTGCAACCTGTTGAAGAAGAGAGTAAGTCGAAGATGTCAGATTTAAAATAAAATACTGCTTTTAAACAGAATAACTATTATATTGTACATTTTGAACTTATTTCAATAATTAAATTCATTTTTGGTAATATTAGTCGGTATTAAATTACCCATTATTAGCTGCTCTTTGCAATACAAACAAAATTGATGATAACAAATAAAAAAACAATAGCAACAAATCCGAACAAATTAAACTGATTAATTAATAACAATTTATTGTTATCTCTGTTAACACACGTTTAAAATGTAAGACACAAAACAAACTTTTGAAGTTTAGTCTATAGACAACGCCCACATTTGACATTTTGACATTAAAAACTTTAATTATGACACGGAACCTTGATAGCTATCTAGATATAGACTATAAGACAATAACATATAGAAATATATTAGCATTTTCAATCTGTTCCTTTAAATTTGCCGGTGTGTGTACATTTATAGTGCTAATTTGACTCAATTAAGTACTAATAGAGAAATTTGCTGGTCGATATACCAGCTTTAAAGAGCTAATTTGACTTATTTTGACTTTATGAAGTACTAGTAGAGTATGTTGCTAGTCGACTAATAGGTATTGCTGGCCGACATACTAGATTTAAATGGCTAATTTGAATATATTAAAGACTAGTAGAAAATGTTACTAATCGATAAACTATATTTATAGTGCTAATTTGACTCAATTAAGTACTAATAGAGAAATTTGCTGGTCGATATACCAGATTTAAAGAGCTAATTTGACTTATTTTGACTTTATGAAGTACTAGGAGAGTATGTTGCTAGTCGACTAATAGGTATTGCTGGCCGACATACTAGATTTAAATGGCTAATTTGAATATATTAAAGACTAGTAGAAAATGTTACTAATCGATAAACTATATTTATAGTGCTAATTTGACTCAATTAAGTACTAATAGAGAAATTTGCTGGTCGATATACCAGATTTAAAGAGCTAATTTGACTTATTTTGACTTTATGAAGTACTAGGAGAGTATGTTGCTAGTCGACTAATAGGTATTGCTGGCCGACATACTAGATTTAAATGGCTAATTTGAATATATTAAAGACTAGTAGAAAATGTTACTAATCGATAAACTATATTTATAGTGCTAATTTGACTCAATTAAGTACTAATAGAGAAATTTGCTGGTCGATATACCAGATTTAAAGAGCTAATTTGACTTATTTTGACTTTATGAAGTACTAGGAGAGTATGTTGCTAGTCGACTAATAGATATTGCTGGCCGACATACTAGATTTAAATGGCTAATTTGAATATATTAAAGACTAGTAGAAAATGTTACTAATCGATAAACTATATTTATAGTGCTAATTTGACTCAATTAAGTACTAATAGAGAAATTTGCTGGTCGATATACCAGATTTAAAGAGCTAATTTGACTTATTTTGACTTTATGAAGTACTAGGAGAGTATGTTGCTAGTCGACTAATAGGTATTGCTGGCCGACATACTAGATTTAAATGGCTAATTTGAATATATTAAAGACTAGTAGAAAATGTTACTAATCGATAAACTATATTTATAGTGCTAATTTGACTCAATTAAGTACTAATAGAGAAATTTGCTGGTCGATATACCAGATTTAAAGAGCTAATTTGACTTATTTTGACTTTATGAAGTACTAGGAGAGTATGTTGCTAGTCGACTAATAGATATTGCTGGCCGACATACTAGATTTAAATGGCTAATTTGAATATATTAAAGACTAGTAGAAAATGTTACTAATCGATAAACTATATTTATAGTGCTAATTTGACTCAATTAAGTACTAATAGAGAATGTTTCTGGTCGACATACTAGATTTAAAGAGCTAATTTGACTTATTTTGACTTTATGAAGTACTAGTAGAGTATGTTGCTAGTCGACTAATATATATTGCTGGCCGACATACTAGATTTAAATGGCTAATTTGAATATATTAAAGACTAGTAGAAAATGTTACTAATCGATAAACTATATTTATAGTGCTAATTTGACTCAATTAGTACCTACTAGTAGAAAATGTTACTAGTTAACTAATAGGTGTTGCTGGTCGACCAAAACCAAATTACTAGTCGATTTTTAACGAAAAAAAGGCGCCAAATTCGAATTAACCCTATATCTATCGATTCCTATAATAGGCGGCCCGCTAGAAAATTTCCCGAAATATATACACCCGTTTTAAGTATTCCACGTATTCGACGGCGAGGTTCGCCTGCTGTTGACACTCGCTCAGCCGCCGCCCGACCGCCTCCCGAATCTCTATACACCTTGCTTCATTCTCGATTGCAACATGGTCATTTCTATGAATTGAACAAAGAAAGATTATTAAAATGACAGTTGTCAGAGTGAAAAGTTGCAATGACATAATACCACTCTTTCTTTTTCCTTTATGAGTGTCTAATGGAAGTTGTCTTTATCGCACTAATGCCCGATTTCACCAACCAGTTTCTAAAGTTAGGTATAATACCTAAACCGGATTTAGGAATTCCTAACTACAAATTGCGTTTCACCATGCACTAAGTAATACCTAAAGGTAATAAGAAATGCCTAAAGTTAGGTTATCTCACTGGGCTTACCTAAAATATTTAGGAAATACTTAATCATACTTTTCATGTGATTTCATGTGACTTAAGACTTGGCTGTTTTTAGACTCTTTAGATGAAAATTTAAAATGGGAGGAGTTTTTAGAAACTGGACGAAACTGATGTTTTTTTTTTCGCCTTTTTCGATATATAAAAATACGGCATTACAAATATTACAAAGATTTGAAGATGATTTTTAATTTGAAACACAGGAAGTTTTTGGAACTATTGACCGTACACATGCTTGTAAAGATCCATTATCCTGGAGGATAAGATGTAGAAATATTTTACAAATCGGAAAGGTTATTTTTCTATTAATGTACAGACTACATCTTCAGCAGATTTAAAAATAACAAACATAGTTTAAAGATGGCCCGGATCGTCAACATCTCTTCTTTTTTCTCAATATATACAATTACGATCTCCGCTTATTCGGTTTACACGTCAAAATTAGACAATGCTACCAACAAAATTCAAAAAATTGTTGAAATCAAATTTTTACCTAAGGCATTTCTTAGTAAAGGATTTCTAATGTTGGTGAAATTCGATTTAGGTAAGTATTCAATTTAAGTAATTCCTACCTTAGGAATTACCTAGTTAGGAAATGCCTAAAAAGATGTTGGTGAAATCGGGCATAAAGTATCTCATCGTTGCTAATATTTGAATTTCAACTGGATTTCGTATTAATACATTTACCAGTGTTGTTAAAACGGATGCATGTCAACTGAGCAAATATAGGATTATATGGAAAAAAATATATTTCTGGGATTGAAACTAATAATCAGAGGATTTTGTTGGATGACAAATATTTATTTTGGTGACAAATAAAATTATTCTCTTTTTTTTCGCCTTTTTCGATATAAAAAAATACGGCATTACAAATATTACAAAGATTTAAAGATGATTTTTAATTTGAAACAAGGAAGTTTTTAGAACTTATGACCGTACACATGCATGTAAAGATTGTTCTGGAGGAGAAGATGCAGAAATATTTTACAAATCGGAAAGGCTATTTTTCTATTAATTTACAGACTACATTTTCAGCAGATTTAAAAATGACTAACATAGTTTAAAGATGGCCCGGATCATCAACATCTCTTATTTTCTTTCAACACATTCAATTTTGATCTCCGCTTATTCGGTTTACAAGTCAAAATTAGGCAATGCTACCAACA